GTCATCTCTGACAGGCAGGTCACCTCTGACAGACAGGTCACCTCTGACAGGCAGGTCACCTCTGACAGACAGGTCACATCTGACAGGCAGGTCACCTCTGACAGACAGGTCACATCTGACAGACAGGTCATCTCTGACAGGCAGGTCACATCTGACAGGCAGGTCACCTCTGACAGACAGGTCACATCTGACAGACAGGTCATCTCTGACAGACAGGTCACATCTAACAGGCAGGTCACCTCTGACAGACAGGTCACCTCTGACAGACAGGTCACATCTGACAGACAGGTCATCTCTGACAGACAGGTCACATCTAACAGGCAGGTCACATCTAACAGGCAGGTCATCTCTGACAGACAGGTCACATCTTTGCTCCCAGACTGAGGCACGCTTATATTTTGAGACCAGGGGTGGCGAGTGGCTCAGTGTCCTAGGGGTCTGTATCTGTGATCAGAAGATCACAGGTTCCAGAACAGTCTCCGCAGAAAAGTCAGATATCTGTGGTCCCTTGAGCAAAGCCCTTAACCCCCAGCTCCAGGGGGGGGCACAAGTTGCCTTACTCAGTGCTGTGACCCTCAAGCCATGGAGAACAAGATGGGATGTATGAAGAGGAGAATTCCAATGTACTTGTGCAAATGGCAAATAGAGAAGATACCTGACAGCGATGCTGGGTGCAGCACTACCCAAGGAGCAATAAATGTCAGCCAACCCCCCCAGCTGACTGAACCAGTGGTCATGTGCGCGGGCAGACACCGGGCGGGTCCTCGCGCGGGCAGACACCGGGCGGGTCCTCGCGCGGGCAGACACCGGGCGGGTCCTCGCGCGGGCAGACACCGGGCGGGTCCTCGGGCGGGCAGACACCGGGCGGGTCCTCGCGCGGGCAGACACCGGGCAGATTCTCAGTTTCCACAAAGGGGATACGTATCTTCTAATCTACAGGAACGACTGAAAGGCCCCAGAGTTACAACCTTGACCCACATTCGCTATTGGATAACGACAGAGCTCTCGGGAAGAGTCCTCACTAATGAGGTGGATGGGTGGGGCTTTTACAAGCTGATGGCACTCCTTCATGGGGGGAGGGACCCTAATTTCAAATGCAGAAATGGAGTAACTACTGATTCCACCCAAAACATGACATCATCCACGCATCATCAAACAAGAGGGCAGGATGCGGAGTTTGATTGCCCCCCCAGCTGAAGCCTCTTATTGATTCACATTCTTCATAAAAGCATTTTAAGATACTTCCTCTTTTTGACCATAAGCCGTTTTAACATTACAACTTAAAAGTGTTTGACCACAGTCCTACATTTAGGGTGGCAGCGTTCTCGGCTCCAACTGTCTGGTTCCCAGGAATATCAGTTCAGAGGCTCCCTGCCACTGGACCTTTGCAGAAATCATGACCCAGTAAATGTATAACTGCAGTGCATAAGGTTTTAAGGAAGCTGTTTACTGGATAAATGTGTCAGCTGGTTAGATACATGTGGTCTGCTGCTCTAGCAAAGGTGTGGATTTGCATATGGGATCACTGATCTCTACCAATTTTGTGTTTTTACTGGGCGGGGGGGTCTGGCTGATTCGGTCCCCACCGAAGCTGAAAGCAAACCTACGGCCTTGTGCTGTAGCAGCTTATCTGCGTGTCCTGTCACTGTCCTGTGTGTCATGGCTTAAAAGTTCAGAAACACCATTTGGTCTGAAGGGGCATGCTGGGGGGGGGGAGGGCGACTGAGCACCTGACCCTTTCACCGACAGTCAATTTACCAAGGGAAAAGGGGACAAACATGTGTTCCTCAAACAGTCTCTGCGCAGCTGCAAACAGCTCCTTTAACAGCGTACAGCCAGCTCAATGCTTACAGATATAAGCAACAATTAAAATATAGAGTTTGGAGGAGAAGTGGCCACTGACTGATCAGCATATATGTGGGAGCTCCTTCAGGACAGCAGGAAACGCATCCCAGGAGGCCGCCTCATGCAACTGGTGTAGAGGAGACAGCAGAGTCAGCCAGTCCCTGGAGCGATTGGGGTTAAGGGCCCAATGGAGGGATCACTCTGCCGACCCAGGGATTTGAACCAGCAACCTTCTGAGTCACAACCCACAGAGCTGCCCCCCCCAGTGCATAATTCCATGTTATTTATAGTTTTGATGTCTTTATAATAATTCTAAAATGTAGAGAAAAGTACAAATAAACCTTTCTATGGGTAGGTGTGTGCAAACATTTCACTGGTACTACATGTGCAAAATGTCTCATGAATGTAGAGTTACACCAATTTTTTATCAATCAACGAATGTTTTTACTGTTGACTGCTATACTGTAATTTACTGTATATGAAAGGTTCCCGTGCGCAGAAATCACAGGTGTGAGATGGGACAAGTGAATTAATCATTACACAGATTGCGAGAAAGCACGTGTTTGTGTATATAAGTGCAAATCATGTGACAATAAACGGTTTGTGGCATTATCTAAACACCAATAACCTGTCACCTAGCGGCGTTTCATGTAAAAGGCTTAAAGTACAATCTGCAATAATTAAGTAGCATACCTCCCATCGGCCGTAGGTGAGCAGGAAGAGGGAAAGTGGCAGGGCGGTCCCCGTCATGGCGTGGGTGGAGGGCATGCTGTACTCCGTGTTGTAAAACACCTCCACCTTGACCACCGGCGGAGAGGCCGGCCTCGTCCACCGGATGAGGTCTTTGGCGCACTGACCCAGGTATAGGATCAAGACCCAGACCACGATCAGGCGCCGGCTCACATAGGCGTCGATGTTCCAAAATAAGAAAGGGAAGAAAATGATGAAGAACATTTCATTGCCCAGTTCAGTCCCAAACGTGAACAGGTAGAAGAGAAACTTATTCTCGATGATGAACTCCTGTCCGACATCTCCAGTCAGAGAGTTTTTGCGCAGCGGTTTAACCGTGCTTCGGGATTCATGTTTCTGCTCTGACAGCTCACACGCCGCCTCCTTTCCCTCTTCTTTCCCGCTGCCCGGTGCAGCAGAGAGCCGCCAGTGCGCGCTTCGCATCGCCGCCTCCTCCGCGTCACGCACCGGGTTCACCTGGTTCATAAGGGCCGTCTTCCCGGAGCCTGTCATGTCTTTTCTCTTGCTTAGACCACCCGTTTCTGCGTCCGCGGAATGGAGGATGCAGTCGCCGTTTTGCAGCTTTTCCTCCTCCTGTCCAGCTATTTCGGTTGCTTTCCCGGGGAAGGTTCCCTTAACGCCGCACATCTGCTGAAATTTTGCAACAAGGTGCGGGTCCTGCAGGTACTGACACAGCCGGATAAATCTCTGTAGATGGCTCGCCATCGTTATGTCTTAAACCTGGGACGCACCACACCAACCAGGCAATGTCGTAATCTGCAATATATAATATCGCCAGAATAATGCGGTGACCCTAATTTACCGAACACCGATAAAACAGTAAGACTGTAACGACGTTAAAGAACAGCGCGTATTGAAATGAAGCTGGTATCTTCATAAGGGCATGGAGAGCATAGTCGCTGAAGAAGTGCCCGATTTTTAGGCCATCGATCAGGATTCATCTGTCCCATCAGGCTCCGGCGACACCGACCTGCCGATTCCGACAAGCGCGGGTCGTGTGAGGGAAGCCGGGCGCTGGTGACGCCCACGGACGATGACGTAGCGTTTCGGACACACTGCGGCTGAGCTGCGCCCCAGCCACTGATTCGGGTTCAGCTGGCAGGGTTCGTACCGCGCCACACTTGCTATAGTGCTACACAGAAGCTGATCTAGGAACGGTTCTCACTGGCTCAGTATGGCTCCGTACAGCCCTAAACGCCGCTGACTATCGTGGAATAGCGCACTGCTAGTTACATGGCCTGTCGGAGTCTGACCTAGGGATTACCCTATACTGTACGTGATCTGAAATAAAAACATGTGTTTAACAAGAATCACCGAAGGGCGTATGTTCATATAGTCCATGCATTTTATTCAAGCAAATAGGTCACCCCAAAAGATACAAAAAATCGCAATCAATTTCAAAGATGTTCTATACAAAACAGCAATAAGCGGTAATAATATTACGTACCCAACTGTATATTAACATGCATGTCAAGCTGTTATTTATTTAAAAGTTTATATTTCATACATAAAAGGCCTATATCTGCTGTTTCTATGGAAAATATCATCTAAGGTATATCATTTGTAGCCACAGTTACACATGTGGACTCTATAATATTAAGACCAGGGGTTGAGTTAGTGATCATTGTTGCAGTTCAGAATAATCTCTACATCGGCAGCCACCTTGCAATGATTCTGAACGTGCAATGGCCCCCTCTTCAGGTCAAGGTTTTGTAATAGTAAGTGCCTCATTTACACGGCAGTAAAGAGGAAACTACGGTCATGTTGTTACTCTTCATTGCCATCCATCCATCCATCCATCCATATCTCTTTTCTAGTACAGGGTTGAGGTGCCCTCCTGGATTTTAATGTATATATGGAAACTCTTTCAAATTTTACATTTTAATCAGGGTTCTTACTTTCATACCATTCAATGCAATGCTTTTCTCATCTTTTTTTTTCAATGCACAATAAGTAAAATCAAACTTGAATGATAAGTAAATGAAATCAGGTATTTATTAAAATAAGATCCATCCAAGAAATTGGTGTTTGTGTAACATAACACGATATATATTATATGGGGAAAAATCTAAGCAACAATAAAAACTGTAACATTATACAGTGCAGTGCGGCAGTGCCAGGATTCAATGTGAAACAGCTGTATGATTTTATACTGCCTTAAGTACAATTGTTAAGCACAGCCAGGTTCTGTCCAGTTAACGAACATGTATCAGCACCATCACTGAAGGCTGTGGGTTTCTGTGTTAATGGGTCTGATTAAATACTCTCAGCCACAGCAGCAGGTACAGTGCAGCTGTCACTGTAATGTGAAGCCAGAGGCGTAGCTAGAAATTCTCGTCACCTTGGGCTCCCCTGTGCCCAATTTTACATATAATTTTACATATTTAAGGGCCCCTGTAAAGTGGAGCCCCCCCGAATCAGCCAGGGTATCCGTGGCCCTCAGACACCCCCAGCTAAAATTGTAATGAAATTATTTTTTAACCTAGAACTAACCCCAAAGTACGTATACATGCTTAAATAAACAATGTGACTCCAAACGTGATGAAAGCTCATGCAGCACTAAGTTAAATAAGTCACAGCATAAATATGACATTTTACATTAATCTGAATAATGTAAAAACTGTACAGAATGGATACAAATGGATCCATACAAAACTATGGATAACGTTTAGTATTCCAGGCGGTAGGCATCAAGAGATTTCAGAAAAAAAACGGAATAAAACTAATCCTGAATGCTGGCTTTCCTGTGATGACCTTCTGATGTAAGAGCATGAATGGTGATGGTGTGACAGCGGGTTACCTCTACGCTACTGAGAAAAATAACCAACGTTTTGAAGGTTTTCAGAACATGAGACCCTGGTTTCCTTCTGCAGTCCTTAGCCTGACAGTGCGAAGGGCTCCTACTTTTCAAACTAGCCACCGGGACACGCTGGGTCTTGCATCCTGCATTCTGTGCTCCTTGGAATTTGCCCTCGGTTAACAGCATGAACATGTGCTGGATCAGTAGCTATGGAAGATGACCCACAGTGAGGAAGCACTCCTTCCCGTTTGGTCCTGCTTATCAGATAAGATCAAACGATTTCCTTGGAACTAGAGGAGGACAGTGTTAAACTGGAATCCCAAATAAGGAATATCTACATAAAACATGGAAAAAGAGCACCTGTGGAAACACGATGCAGATCATAAAAATAATCGTCACAAAAGAAAAATAAAACAGGAGGCATCAGCACAATCCACGGGTTGATTTACTGATATAGCAGGAAGTATCTGTGGAACACATTGTCGCTGTCACGGTGGGCCATACTGTCCATGCTGCAGCCAATACCCATGGTGCACCTCTTCGTATGCATGGCACAGGTATGATCGAGGCCCTGCTGCAAGCATACATGTGACAGGCGGGGGGGGGGGGGGGGG